AACTCATGCCTAATATCTCCCCTTCCTCCAGATCATTTTCTCTGCCTCATACTTGACTGAGTAGGCCGTAAGTCATTTGAACTCCCATTCTGGGCCGTAGAGGCAAGGCTTGGTGCTTTGGTAATTTGCTGTTTCCTTCGGCGGTAAATGGGCAAATGTTTCTTCACCGTTTACTGTCGGAAATTTATTGTTATTCTGTGTCATTCAAAACACCTCACCAATGATCCTCATGAAAAAATAACGTCCCCATTTGTCAGACCAAGGTGCACAGAGAAGTCAAGGCCCTAATCTGTCTCTAAAACAGTGCATAGACACAAGGTAAAAACAAGGAGAACTCCCAATAAGGCGCAAAATGAAAATGCATTTGTATTTTCACAGGATTTATGGATATATTATACTATCAAAGCATATTGTTTAGTGTCACTTTAAAAAAGTTTACATATTTACATTTAATCTCCAAACACGGAAAGGTTTCTTCACAGTAAGAGCTGTGAAAATGTGGAATAGACTCCCTCAAGAGTTGGTTCTGGCCAGCTCAGTGGATTGCTTTAAAAAAATGCCTGGATCAGGGGCAGACTGACCATTTGGAAACTCGGGCATTGCCCGAGGGCCCGGGGTCAGTAGGGGGCCCCATGAGATGCCCCTGGTACCTTTTTCATAGGCTTTTTTGAATTTGGGCAAGGACACAGGGGCCCCATGATCCCCTATTCCCCGAAGGCCCCATGAGTTGTCAGTTCGCCCCTGGCCTGGATTATTTCTTAGATAACCAGAATATAACTGGATACTAACATTTATAGGTAAAGTTGATCCAGGGAATATCCGATGCCTCTCGGGGGATCAGGAAGGAATTTTGTCCCAGCAGGAGCAAATTGGATCATGCTTTGCTGGGTTTTTTTGCCTTCCTTTGGATCAACTGTGGGTATAGGTTTATAATTTTTTTTTTTTTTTTTAAATGGTTGAACTGGATGGACTGTTGTCTTTTTTCAGCCAGACTAACTATGTAACTATTAGGGAATGAAGACGTTTTGATACATAATGATCATATTATTATTATTATTATACAGGATTTATATAGTGCCAACGGTTTGCTCAGCGCTTTACACTACAGTGGGAGACAATACAGCAACGATACAGTTCAATACAAGAGGGATCTGAGGGCCCTGCTCCTTGGAGCTTACAATCTAGGAGGGAGGGGTGAGTGGTACAGTAGGTAGTCACTGTGGGGGATGGAGTTGTTGGAAGATTAGAGGATTCCGGAATTAGCAGAGGGCGGGATAGGCTTCCCTGAAGAGAAAGGTTTTCAGTGATTGCTGAAAGGCAAGTAGAGTAGGTGATAGTCTGATAGATTGGGGAAGGGAGTTCCAGAGGATGGGTGCTGCCCTAGAGAAGTCTTGGAGATGAGCATGTCGCCATTTAATGATGATCTTGGGTTCAGTCCAAACACAGAAGTTAATTGTCATTGCTGGGCCAATGAGCTATGGGCAGGAGATTCCCTACACTGCAGCTGTCATATGCAAACACATACCTCCCAAGTGTCCCTGATTTCAAGGAACTGTCCCTGATTTGGATCAAGTTCCCTCTGTTCCTCTTTCCTGCTCATTTGTCCCTCATTGTGGTCTGATATATATAGTTGTATATAAAATGAACTATTTATCTTTCATTTGTCTTTCATCCAGTTTCTAAATTGCTGCATTTGTAAACTTCAAAAGCCAGAATAAAGGAAAGCACTTGTGAGTTTAATCTTTATTTTTTTGTATAATTCTCCTTTAAGGAGGCATGGCAGGGTGTGTCTATGCCTACGTACATTTGCTAATAGGTGTGCCTACATACATTTGCTAATAGGTGTCCCTCATTCCCATCTCAAAGAGTTTGGGAGGTATGCAAACAGCCGGGAATGCCCATGACATCATAGACCCAATATGGGCACATGGCCATAAATAAATCAATGTCATTGACCTCATAGGGCTATGTGGCCATATTAGGTCGTTGATGTCAAGAGCATCCCTATCCCAGTGACAGTGAGAGCTGTGAAAATGTGGAATAGACTCCCTCAAGAGTTGGTTCTGGCCAGCTCAGTGGATTGTTTTAAAAAAGGCCTGGATTGCTTCTTAGATACACAGAATATAACTGGATCAGGGGTGGATTGACAACTCATGGGGCCCCGGGCAATAGAGAATCATGGGGCCCCTGTGTCCTTGTCCAAACTCAAAAAAAGCCTATGAAAAAGGTACCAGGGGCATCTCATGGGGCCCCTCTACTGACCCCGGGCCCTTGGGCAGTGCCTGAGTTTCCAAATGGTCAGTCCGCCCCTGAACTGGATATAACATTTATAGGTGAAGTTGATCCAAGGAATATCCAATTGCCCCTTGGGGGATCAGGAAGGAATTTTTTTTCTCTGCAGGAGCAAATTGGATCAAGCTTTGCTGTTTTTTTTTACCTTCCTCTGGATCAACTGTGAGTATAGGATAATAATTTTTGTTTTTCTATGGTTGAACTGGATGGACTTTTTTCAGCCAAACTAACTATGTAATATGTCAAGGAGGGACTGTGATGTGAAGGGGGGCTGTGATGTAAGCGGGGCTATAATGTTGGGGGACTCTAAAGTGAAAGGCACTTGTGATGTACGGGGGGCTGTGATGGGGAAGGGGGGACTGAGGACATTAATTAGGGGCTGTGATGTAAAAGACCTGAGTAATAGAAGAAAAATTAGATTCGGACCTCCTTCAGGAAGAAAATGTTACCAACCAGTACCCCTGCTTTACAGCCTATACAGACTGATTTTACTGTTGTGGGTTTAGTAACATTTTAAATAGTATGAACTGGAGTTCAGCTTCAATTTGTTAGCGTATCCAAATCTGCTAGTACAACTATCACTCCCCCCCCCCCCCCCCACACACACACATGGATAATGCTGCTGTCTTCTGTGCTCTCTGTGCTCCTTCATCCAGAGTTGAGGCACTCTAATACAGGAGGTGTCTCACTGGCAAGATCACCAGGTGAAAACAGAGGGAAAAAAGACTAAAAAGAAGAAAACTAATGCAGCCCCCACATCTAATGATTAGTAATATAATACATTTATGGTTTTGGGTTTAATACCGCTTTAAGGGCCAGTTCCCACCACATGAAGTCCAGTGTGTTATTCTGCATCCAAAATGCATAGATAGTAGGGTATATGGATTCCAATGGAATAGTTCCAGTGTGTTCCAGAACAAATAGTAGAACATGCTGCATTTTGTCTACACTGAACTGTACCGAAATATGGTAAAACCCATAAAAACACACTGCAATGCACCAAAAACGTATCGGAATGCACATGTCCTTAATTAGGACCGTTTTGCACCAGACAAATGCGATCCAAATGCATTTCTGCATGTACATTTTTTACCTATTTTTGATGCGTTCCAGCGCGTTTTTCAAACATTCCTGTCCCCTCCCTCCTTTTTATACCTTAGTGTTACTAAACCCACAACAGTAAAATCAGTCTGTATATGCAGTAAAGCATGCTTGTGATATTCACTGTGGAACCTAAGGGGTTAATCCTCTGCATTGTGTAAAAAGACTGTTTGATGTCTTCTCTGCCCCTCCTCTTGTTGAAATGACCACCTGATACAGACTGAATCCATAGTCACTCTGCACATGCTCAGTTTGGTGTGTATTGCTAGAGAGGGTTTTTTTTTTTTTTCTTGAGAGTGCATGTGATCAGAAAAGGGCCAATCAGCACTGTCCAGACAGAGGTCAGGGGTTTCACATCCTACTAAAGCAGAAAGAAAACTCCTCCTACCAGCTTTGACCAGTGCTCTGCTGGACACTGATAGAAGTCACAAGACCGCTATATACTGCTGATGAGAAAAAGGTATTTAGCAGTTTATATTTACTAAAATAATTGCATTTCCGTGTACTGTGGGAGACCAGATATAGTGAATGCAGGGTCCGGGGAGACCAGATATATGAATGCAGGGTCCGGGGAGACCAGATATAGTGAATGCAGGGTCCGGGGAGACCAGATATAATGAATGCAGGGTCTGGGGAGACCAGATATAGTGAATGCGGGGTCCGGGGAGACCAGATATAGTGAATGCAGGGTCCGGGGAGACCAGATATAGTGAATGCAGGGTCCGGGAAGATCAGATATAGTGAATGCGGGGTCCGGGAAGACCAGATATAGTGAATGCAGGGTCCGGGGAAGACCAGATATAGTGAATGCAGGGTCCGGGGAGACCAGATATAGTGAATGCAGGGTCCGGGGAGACCAGATATAGTGAATGCAGGGTCCGGGAAGATCAGATATAGTGAATGCGGGGTCCGGGAAGACCAGATATAGTGAATGCAGGGTCCGGGAAGACCAGATATAGTGAATGCAGGGTCCGGGGAGACCAGATATAGTGAATGCGGGGTCCGGGAAGACCAGATATAGTGAATGCAGGGTCCGGGAAGACCAGATATAGTGAATGCGGGGTCCAGGGAGACCAGATATAGTGAATGCGGGGTCCGGGGAGACCAGATATAGTGAATGCAGGGTCCGGGGAGACCAGATATAGTGAATGCAAGGTCCGGGGAGACCAGAAATAGTAAATGCAGGGTCCGGGGAGACCATATATAGTGAATGCAGGGTCCGCGGAGACCAGATATAGTGAATGCAGGGTCCGGGGAGACCAGATATAGTGAATGCAGGGTCCGGGGAGACCAGATATAGTAAATGCAGAGTCCTGGGTTTAGTAACACTTTAAATTAGAAAAATATATGTTTTTGATGCATTTTTGGTGAGTTTAGGTGAATTTTTTTCTGCATTTTACCGTGTTCCAGTACAGTTCAGTGCAGAAAAAATGCAGCACGTTCTACTTCTTTTTTTCTGGAACTGGAATGCACTGGAATTGACTGCACTGGTGTGAACTGTGCCTTTGGAAACCATATACCCTACTATCCATGCATTTGTGATGCAGAAAAAATGCACTGGAGTGCATGTGGTGTGAACCGGCCCTTGGGGCTCTACTTCACACTAGATTCAGTCCAGTGAGGTTTTTTTCTGCATCAAAAATGCATGCACAGTGTTTTCCATGTATTCCAATGGCCCTGGTTCACACCAGTGTAGTCAGTTCCAGTCAGTTTCTGGTGCAGAAAAAAAAGTAGAACATGTTGCATTTTTTTCTGCACAGAACCATACTGGAACATAGCAAACTGCATCACAACTGCAACGGAACGGAGTGTTGTGTGAAATGTAGCCAAAAACGTATCCGGAATGCATACGGAGGACATTTTTGTGGTGTGAAGTACCCTTCAGGTGAAGAAAAAGAAAGGGAAACAATGTACCAGAATGCATTAAAAAACGCATCAGAACACATTATAAATGAGTCAAAAAAAGCATCCAGAATGTATCTGGACTGCGTTTCTATGGTGTAAACCGGCCCTAAGGGCTGGTTCACACTATAGAAACGCAGTCCAGATGTGTTCCAGATGCGCGTTTTTGATGCATTTTTTATACATTCCAGTTAATTTTTTCCCCTCTCTTTTACTTCAATTTAAATAGGGACATGTGTGTTCTAGTACATTCCGGTGTGTTTTTGATGAATTTTTTATGTATTTTTGTATGCATTCCAGTTCATTTTTCCCCTCTTTTTCTTCAATTTAAATAGGGACATGTGTGTTCCAGTGCATTCCGGTGCATTTTTGATGCATTTTACCGCGTTCCAGTGCAGTTCTATGCAGGAAAATTGCAGCCTGTTCTTTTTTTTTTTCAGCAACTGGAATGCACTGGAACTGCAAGCACTGATGTGAACCATGACATCGACAAGCATATAACCTACTTTCTGTGCGTTTTGGATGCAGAATAAAAATCAACTGAAATGCATGTAGTGTGAACTGGCCCTAAGAGTATAAACTGAAAACTGAAAATCTCCGGATTAGTTCCACTGGCTCACCACACACCATCTAACCATACAATCTACTTTAGATCTATGAATATGTGTCATCTATTGAATCAATTGATATCCAGGCAGGCATAAAGTGCACTTTATACACTTGGAGGCAGATCAAAGGAGATTGTACAATCCGATTGTAAAGTGTGTGATGAGCTTATGACAAGCGCTCCTAATACTGAGCAAGTTTCTCTTCATTGCAGCATGACATACGCACGATACATTCAAACTTTTATAATTATAATGTGACCTTTTTTTTATCTGAGTGGGAAGATTAACTTATTAACTCATGTAAGATCCTCAGGCAATAACAGTTTTAATTTATACAAATTTCATAATAATGTCACACATCTTGAGATTGCTGCCTAGCAACCACGTTCCATCCTATATGGGGAGAAGGAAATGTGCGGAGATTAAAGCTAGATATTTATTTATCCCAAACCTGAAAGGTCAGGCTAGCTTGTTACGAATGCACAGCATGTAATTCCAACTAAAACGATGAGAATACGCTTTTTTTTTTCCCCAGAAAACTTTAAAATTAAAAAGTTTGAAGCTGAACTCTGGGCAGATCTAAAAGGCACATATTAAAGTCATAATCAATTAGACACATTTAAACCTCCAAAACAAAAAGGTGATAAATTGCAGTTTACCAATCCTAAAAGTGTGGTGGCTGCATTAGTTTTCTCTTTTAGGCTTTTACTTTATTTCATTTTAACCTGGTGATCTGGCCATTATCACACTTCCTGCAATAGGGTGACTGCACGCTGAATGAAGGAGCAATGGAGACACCTTTGGGCGGCAGCATTGTCAATCTGGTGAGGGGGGTTAGATTTAGACTGGACTGGAATAACAAATTAAAGCCAAACGTCATACTCTGAACAGTTTTAGGCAGTCACAGAAACTTTTTGTTTTCATTTTTTACATAAATGAATAAAATCTGATCATTGTAAGCCCCCCTGTCAGTGTTACAGCACAACCAAAGACAGATACTTACCTCTGCTGCAATGGTCCAGAGTCCATGAGGTTGTTTGTTGTCGCCGGCATCTTCTCTCTGGGTTCTTTAGGGTTCTGGTCTTTGACCGTCTTGATTGGCTGGCATGGAATGACATCACTCCCAATCATGCATGGAAGTCTTTCATCCTGGCACACTGGCACTGATACTATAAATATAAACTGGCATTGCTACCATAAATGTAAACTGTGCTGGTATCAATAAATGTAAACTGGCACTGGTACCACTGCCACTGGTACCCGCTGACCTGGTACCAAATGTAAACTGGTACTGTAAATGTCAACTGGCTCTGGTACCCACTGGCCCTGGCCCTGTACCTTAAATGTATACTGGCAATGGTACCATAAATATGAACTGACACTGGTACCACTGGCACTGGTACTGCAAATGTCAACTGGTACCACTGCACTGGTACCGTAAATGTCAACTGGCACTTGTACCACTGGCACTGGTACGCAAATGTAAACTGGCACTGGTACTGTAATTGTGAACTGCCACTGGTACCACTGACACTGGTAACGCAAATGTAAACTGGAACTAGTTCCGTAAATGTGAAATGGCACTGGTACCGCAAATGTAAACTGGTACTGGTACCGCAAATGTGAACTGGCACTGGTACCGCAAATGTAAACTGCACTGGTACCGCAAATGTGAACTGGCACTGGTACCGCATAATGTAAACTGGCACTGGTACCACATGTGTGAACTGGCACTGGTACCATAAACTGTAAACGTGCACTGGCACCACTGGAACTGTAAATGTGAACTGGAAATGGTATTGTAAATGTAAACTGGCACTGGTACCACTGGCACTGGTACCATAAATGTAAACTGGCACTGGTACCATAAACGTAAACTGGCACTGGTACCACTGGCACTGGAACTGTAAATGTGAACTGGAAATGGTATTGTAAATGTCAACTGGCACTGGTACCACTGGCACTGGTACCGTAAATGTCAACTGGCTGGTACCACTGGCACTGGTACCATAAATGTAAACTGGCACTGGTACCATAAACGTAAACTGGCACTGGTACCACTGGCACTGGAACTGGAAATGTGAACTGGAAATGGTATTGTAAATGTCAACTGGCACTGGTACCACTGGCACTGGTACCGTAAATGTAAACTGGCACTGGTACCACTGGCACTGGTACCATAAACCTAAACTGGCACTGGTACCACTGGCACTGGAACTGGAAATGTGAACTGGAAATGGTATTGTAAATGTCAACTGGCACTGGTACCACTGGCACTGGTACCGCAAATGTAAACTGGCACTGGTACTGTAAATGTGAACTGCCACTGGTACCACTGACACTGGTAATGCAAATGTAAACGCAAATGTAAACTGGCACTGGTACCGCAAATGTAAACTGGCACTGGTTCCGTAAATGTGAAATGGCAATGGTACCGCAAATGTAAACTGGCACTGGTTCTGTAAATGTGAAATGGCAATGGTACCGCGCAAATGTAAACTGGCACTGGTACCATAAATGTAAACTGGCACTGGTACCACTTGCACTGGAACTGTAAATGTGAACTGGAAATGGTATTGTAAATGTAAACTAGCACTGGTTTATCGTCAAGCATGAGTACCAATACTTTCGTCAAGTACTCAGCAATACCGATTATCGATACTTTGCAATGCAATTTGTGTCAATATAAAATGTATGGATGCAAATTGCACCACAAAGAATAGCATGCAATTTGAACAGGAATGCGATTGCTGTCCAAGTCACATGCGGTTTCCCCACTGCTCCTGTGCGAACCCAGGCTGTCATATGCTGAGTTCACACAGGAGAGGTGCAGGGAGGTTTCCACAGTGGAGAGTGGGCATGTGAGGATGTATAATATGGTGGCAGATGGTTCATATTCTCAGTGGTAGGAGAGGAGAGAAAGCGTTGGGGATTTGGAATCCCCACCACTTTCTCTCCTCTCCTTGCAGGTATGACAGTTAGGGCTAGAGAGCTTTTGAGTGGTCAGTACCGTCACATGGGTGGTGCTGACCAGTCAGATGCTGTCTAGTCCATACTGTCGTCACTTCAGGGAGAGGAGAGAAATCCGCTTTACAGGCCTGGGGATTTAAAATCCCTGCGGCTTTCTCTCCTATCCTTGCAGTGATGACAGTATGGGCTAGACAGCATCTGATTGGTCAGCACCATCCATGTGACAGTGCTGACCTATCAAAAGCCCTCTAGCCCGAACTGTCATCCCTGCAAATTGAGGAGAGAAAGCGGCAGAGATTTCAAATCCCCAGGCCTGTGAGGCGGATTTCTCTCCTCTCCTTCCACTGAGAATATAGACCCTCTGCCTCCATAGTATACTGTACATACCCACACGTCCACTCTCCACTCAGCATGGGATGCCTGCATGGAGGTTTCCTGCACCACTCCTGTGTGAACTCAGGCTATGACAAGCTTGGGTTCACACAGGAGCAGTGGGGAAACTGCATGCAATTTAGATAGGAATCATATTCCTGTTCAAATCGCATGCTAAGCTTTGTAGTGCAATTTGTATTGACGCTAATCACACTGTAAAGTATTGGTTTCCAGTATCAGGAGCATTTTCATGAGTATAAGTACGCGCACTGGTACCGACACCAGTATCAGTGCATTCCTAGTAAATATAAACTGGCACTGGTACCATGGGCAATGGTACTGTAAATGTAAACTGGCACTGGTACCACCGATAATGGTACTGTAAATATAACTGGCACTGGTACCCACCGATAATGGTACTGTAAATATAACTGGCACTGGTACCACTGGCAATGGTACTATAAATGTAAACTGACACTGGTACCACTAGCAATGGTACTGTAAATGTAAACTGGCACCACTGGTAATGGTACTGTAAATATAAACTGGCACTGTGTCTTGGAAATTCGCTTTTAACGAATTTCTCCTTACCGTGAGTACTCGCAGTTGGATGCGCAGAAATCCCCCATAAAGCTGTGCGAATCTCGCTTACCACGACTGCAGCTTAACCCCAAGATTCCTGCCCATCCAACTGGGTTAGCTTCTGTTAAAATGTGGGGAATTGGAGCTCCGTTACCCAAGAATGATCAGGCGACACTCTCAGGATGATGTTTGAATTCACATAAGGGCCGATCTGACTCCAGCCTTGGATTTTTATTTACAAGCAGACACACGCCCCCCCACATGAATAAGGTCAATCCCCTCCCACCGAACAATGCAATGGGGAGTGCCTATACACAGGATATACATTCCGATTGGAGCATAGTCTTTCCTATTATCTATCACTGGTCCTCCCCCCTCCTCATCAAGGCCCCTCCTCCTCCAATCCTCGCCGACTCTTCTCTGCCTTCAACTCTCTACTCTCGCCACCCCCACCTTCACCCAGCACCTCACTCACCGCCCTTGCGATTGCCAATCACTTCAAAAACAAGATTGACACATTCGCAAGGACATTGCCGCAACTCACACGCCCTCTCAACCCGTCCCCTCTCACACAGCTACCCCCTTATCCCCCCTCCCCCTCGACATAACCCGCAGGGACTTCGTCGCTGCTCAAACTCTCTCCAACCCCTTCACCCTCACTCAGCTACCCCCTCATCACCCCTCTCCCACGGCCCCACCACTGCTCTGACCTCCTCTTCCACCCCACCCTACATTCCTCATACTGAAGCTCCCCCCACACTCCGCACCTTTGACCTTACTACCATCGAGGAAGTCTCCAAGATCCTCTCTGATGCCCACCTCACCACCACCTGCCCCCTCGACCCTATCCCCTCACAACTCCTACGACCTTCCTCTCCTCCTCCATCCTACGCTCCCTCACCCACATCTTCAATCTCTCTCCCTCTCCTCAGGCACTTTCCCCTCCCCTCTGAAACATGCACACATCACCCCCATACTTAAAAAGCCCTCCCTGGACCCCAATGACCCGAAAAACCTCAGACCCATCTCCCTGCTCCCATTTACATCTAAACTCCT